AAAACAAGTGGACTGTGTTCTGTTTGTTTATTGTTGAAATTTATTGCCAACAAGTCACAAACACCTACTGTAAAGAATTCAACCCATACATAAAATCTGACAGTGGCAAACCAGCCAGGATATACAGGGGTAAACAGCAGTAGAAATAGACATAAACTCCTGGCAAATAGCCCTACAAATGCACAGCTGCAGTTGTAGTAAAAAATATTGTAGAAGTCACAACCACACAATATTACCATTGATAAGTGGATAGAAAGGGGCAAGCGACTTGGGCTCAAAGATGGTGGTCTCTGAGAACAGCAAGATCTAGGGAGAAAAGAGAAGAAGAAAGAAGGGCCAGCCAACCCAAGCTGCCTATGTTTGATGAACAGAAAGATGACATGGTGCTATCCTGGAGAGGTAAGAAAGATTTGCCCAAAGTCAGAACTAGGACAAAGGTGACTAGGCAGTATGTCTCAGCCCCCTACTCATGGGAAAAGGCCTACAAGTGTATGTGGACATGATGCCAGAAGATTCTGTGGACTATGAAAAATAAAGGGTGCCTTGCTGAAACAGTATGAATTTACCAAAGAAGGTTTTTGACAGAGATTCAGTGAAGTCAAACCTGACACTGGAGAAACTATATTTCAGTTTGTGGCACATCTACAGTGATACTTCATAAGGTGGACTGACATGGCCAAGTGTGAAGATAGTACCAAGAACTCAAAGGACAAAAGTTATAAAATGGGACACATTGTGAATGAACACAAGTCTTTCACCAACAAGCAACAGCAGAAATTTCAACATAAAGCAGCTCGAGCTACCTACAAAGATGGTGCTTGTAAGAAACAAGAAAAAAGTGACTATCACCATGGTTGCTGCTGCCAGAAGAAACAAAATTGCGACAAACCATCAGATTCACCACAAGAAGGAAGTGCTATTTCCAGGATTAAACAGTGCACAGCTGACAGTCAGCTGACGTTAACAAATGGACCAACAGTGCAAATAGTGATTGGAGCACATGACAAACATCAGGAGATGCCAATAAACCACAACATGCCAGTAGGTGAAAGCTATGTTGGGGACAAGAAAATGAAAGTCCTACAAGATACCAGGTGCAGCAGTGAGAACCAGTCTATCATCTGATGACCAGATGACGGGCAAAGTACATGTGTGTGCGTGTGTGTGCTGATTTATTGGACAGTGAGAAAGTTTCTCATTGTAAGAATAAAGGTGGACACTCCATAGTATGTGGGAGACATTGAGACCAAGTGTATGAAGGCACTCAATTATGACTTGGTGATTGGAAATATACCAGGCTAAAGAAGTTTGGAGGAACCAGGCAGAAAGGAGACTGATGAATCATCTTCAGTCAACCCAGAGCTCAAGAAAAGAAAAGCAAGCAAGACATCCAGCCCCTGCAAGTCTTGAAAAGTAGCATCCCAAATGCAAGTCTGTGGGAACCAAAGGAAGAACAGAACAAAGACCCTTCACTGCAGAAACTTTGGGACAGTGCCCAGGAGAAATTCGAGCACAAAGACATAGAGCAAAGGGACTTCAAAAATAGATGACTGGAAAGGAGTGCTGAACTGGATCTGTCAAGGCAGTTCTAGGCAGACTGTCAAGGCAGACTCAAGTGATGAAGTTGCCTCATGAATTGATTGTGGGAGGACACCTAGGAGCAAATAAAATGACAAAGAGAATCACCAGCAACTTCCACTGGTCAGGGGTCATTGGAGACTGTGACCAGATTCTGCCAAAGTACAGTAACTAGAAGGAAGATAGCCAAGTACCACTGGGTGAGATGCCTCTCACAGAAGAGCCATTCAGCAGAGTAGCTGTGGACTTAATCAGATTACTAGCACCTGTATCTAACAAGGGCAACTGGTATGTGCTGACAGTAGTCGACTATGCAACACATTGCCCAGAAGCCATAACATTGCCAAAGATAGAGATGAAGAGACTAGTAGAAGCCCTTCTGGAAGTGTTTTGCAGAGTAGGCTTTTCAAAAGAACTCTTGAGTGACAGAGGGACCCAGATTACCTCAGAAGTGATGCAAGAGGTATGCAGACTCATCAGCACTAGGTAGCTCTTTTCCACCTCATACAACCCCAGAAGTCATGGACGTCGTGAAAGAGTCAACAGTCTTTAAGAGAATGCTGAAGATATGCCAAGGGAGACCACGTGACTGGGACAGATATCTGCAGGCAATATTATTTGCTTACTAAGAAGTCCCACAAGCAAGTACAGGATTTTCACCCTTCGAGTTACTGTATGGAAGAACAGTACGAGGTTTGATGCAGATATTGAAAGAACTGTGGCCAGGGATCCAGTCAAGGTGAAGCCCTACCAAATGCCCTATGCTATGAGAGACCTGATCAAGCAAGAGGTCAAAATAATATTAAAAGCTGGAATAGTTGAGCCTTCTAATTCAACCTACTGTTCACCAGTGGTGATCGTGAAGAAGAGAAATGGCTCAAACCACTTCTGCATAGAGTTCTGGAAGCTGAACCTTGTGACGAAGTTTGACTCTGAACCTATGGCCAACCCAGAGACTATCATGGTGAAACTAGACAGGGCCAAGTTCTTTACCAAGATCTAACTCTGTAAAGGCAATTGGCAGATCCCAATGGAGATGGAATCTAAAGAGAAGACAGCCTTTGTGACACCAGATGGATACTACTGGTTCAAGAGGATGCCATTTGGGTTAGTCAATTCAGCAGCAACATTCAACCACATGATGAGGAAGATGTTGCACAAAACCACAACATCAAGCATTATGTGGACAATATCCTGGCCCACACAGCTAGATGGGAAGACCACCTCAATAAGCTCAGAGAGCTGTTTGGACAATTGAGGGCAACAGTTCTCACAATATGATCCCAATATGTTCAACGTTTCGACAAGGTTTTGTCATCATCAGGTACAAAACCTTGTCGAAACATTGTACATTTGCTGTTATATTAAAGTTTTTCTTAATTACCAATTCAAGCCATCTCCAACCATTATAATTCATCTTTGTTTTTGTGTACAACAGATTTGAACACTTTACTAAAAACTTGCTACATTTCATGAAGGTACACATAGTAAATTCGTAATTATGGTCAATATTCCTTCTTCAATATGGGGTCAGTCCAATGGACCAAGCGTATACATATTTGGTTTTAAAAACATGATGTGACAAAATAAGATTATTCTTTTCTTCAACTGACTTCCTGATGTAGGCTACAACAACAAAATATATACAAAGTTGAAACGAGCAGTGAATGCCTAGTTTAGAGTAATGCTTGAGATGAAAGTCTTAAGAGAACTATTCTACAAAAGTAGCTCACAAAAGGATGTCCTTTCCACCTAATCTACTTTTATAGACTAGTCCTCTAAGACTTCCTCCTTAAGTATCACTCTGAACTAGACATTTGTTGCTCATTTCAACTTTGTTTGTTCTTCATGAAGACTCTACCTAAATCATATTTAAAAGTGTCAGTTTTAACTAGGCAACTGCTATCCATTTCAAATGTGTTTGTTTCTGATGAAGACTCTGCCTAATCATATATATATCAAAAAATACAATTCATAAGGAGTTTGGAAAACCCAGAATATTGACTTTGAATAACCTTTGTTAAAGAGCAAGTTTTCTGCTGCCAAGATTATGTTTAATGGTAATTTTAATAAAAGCTCCAGAACAGTAAGCTTTTACTCTTAAATAAAGCATATTTAAAGTTATGGGCATTGGTTTTTCTAAAATAATTAAAATGTACCACAACTTGACAAAAAACAAAAAATGCAGTGATGTTAGCTTATTTAATGTTAGAATCATCAGCTTTTTTCAGTTCTATACTTAAAGTGAAAATACATTATTAAAATCCACACCAATTTGCGTGTGTGGAGGGAGGTGGGGGGTGACAAAAAATGAGGAAACTTTATCATAAAAAATCAAAATTCTCTTGTAATAACTGCATATATTTTAAAATTATGTACCAGATCTACAATGGGAACTTTCTGTAAACCTTCCAAACGATAATGTAAGAAGTCAACAGGATGACCTGATGCTGAGTAGTAAGGCATGTTTCCAGCCAAAAGATATGATAAACTGATAGCTGATGGTCCATTGCCTGAAATAAAAAAAGACAATAATGATAATAATTTTGAAAAAGAAGTATCATCTATAAAAATATATTGTCTTCATCCTTCATGTCTATAAAGGCACAGAAAAAGAACTTTTCTTGTAAATAATCTAACATGAAGAAAGAAGAAATTTCTAGTGTCAAACATTAGACAAGTAATGTAAAGCTATTGAAACAGTTAGGGTTACACACAGTCTTGAGAAGTTAAGAATTATTATGCCATATAACAAGTTATGACAGCAAAGTGTAAACTGTTGATTAATAGTTTGCATCACAATAAACTGATATAATTTTTAACATACCTTTCTTTTCTGGTTCTATACCATACATCTTATGTGCCACATTGCCATTCACTAGATACCCATAGTTGGGTATGCAACACATAAAACCTTTGTTGAAATGCTATTTATGTCAGTCATTTACAATATATCAATTATTGTGGTGTTTAACACATTATTCTGGTGAAGACTGATTGGTTGTTTTCGTTCATTACCTCAGCTCGTCAATCGAAACACAATGTATCAATCTTATTGTAATGTAATGTCATAAACAACCTGATGATCAAGATACGAAATGGTGATAAAAATATGTGAAATTAAGCCAGTATCCACTCATTCTCATCTCCTCACAAAAAATACTTTGCCTTCAGAGAAATTTTCATGTCATGTGCAAGCTAACTAAAAATATGTACTAAAAGACTTATATAACCCCTGTCTTCAAACTTGTTTAGACATGCTCAATGAAGAACTTTACCACAAATGCAATATTCATAACTTGTCTAGACTTGTGCCTACATTTGCAATATGCATATGATTAACTAAGAGTTTGAAAAAATTCTACAGAAATTTGTCATCATATATATTCAAGGCCAGGTCCTACATAAGGCAACCTAGACAAGTTTTACATACTAGATATGTAGCAAAGGTTTACACAGGTTCAGTCTAACCTACAATATTTGGGGCACTTCAGTTGTCTAAGTCAGGCATTCTCAACTTTTTTGATTCAAGCTTCACTTTATCAAAAATATGCAATTTATAGGATGTCTATTTTCACATGCCACAAGTCTGTCCATTTTGCATTTTGTATACCTGTGCAATACAACAAGAACAGCACATTGCTGAAACCTGGCTAAATTAAAATCTGCTCTGATTAGTTCTTTGCTTTATAAATGCAACTTTCCAGTTTTGATTAAGAAACATTATAAAAATATGCTTAAAAACATAAATATGAACTATTTATTTCCCAGCTTGTAAAACTTACATTTACATATCCAATAATCATCTCTTACATTTCTGTATAAATTGAATGCTGCCCCCCCCCCTACATCTAATAAAGTTTGACATTCCACACTAGGTGAAAAACTCTGGTCTAGATCATGGCTCAGCATTTAAAAGGACATGTTTAAAGATGTTAAAAAAGAAAAGAATACTGATAATGTACTTTTTGGGGGGGGGTTATGTTGGTTGCTGATGCTAAATGTATTTATTTTGAATTTTACTAGTAAGAACCTGGAGCCATGTATCATACCACAAATTTTTGTTGTTTTTCCCTCATTATCACCAGCATGCATACTGCCCTACTTTAAACACTGTAAATGGGTAGGCTTAAGAAAACTGTAAAAAAAAAAGGAATAAACCAAACTCAATTTTCGGATCATGCTACTTTCATGAAAAGTTTGCATTTATGACTAGACCTATTAGATCAAATGGTATACCAAAGAAATTGTATTACAATTCAAAAATTTGGAAATATAATGAAACATAAAATATTGGTCAACCAAATTTATGATTTTACAACTTGAAAGTGTACACAAGCTACAATTAAACAGATTAAAACAACAAATGCTTGATGTAGAAACATTTGTTTCATGATAAGGGAGCTCTGTCTCCCAAGATATGGTAAGCAGGTGTATAAGAAAAGTTTGGGTACAGTGGGTATCTTAGGTGGTTTTACAAACAAATTAGTTATGAATGAGGAAGTTATTTTCTCCAAGAAATGCATGGGGTAGCCATTTTAAAAAAGAATGTTTTGTATGGAAGTAATTTCTTTGTGAAGGGCTAAATAGGATAACCAAACTTCCCTTATACATCTAGAAACATTTGTGTTATCAGTTAAAATGTGAGGTTTCAAAATGCAGTAGTTCCAACTATAAAAGAAGACTAACTGTACAAATAATGGAAAAGATTTAACACAGCAAAAAATAATTATTACGAATAACTAACTCTGTAAATAATAGCTAAAAATTAACTTGTAAAGTAATAAAGCTACTTTTATACAACAAAGTAAAACTGAATAGAAGTACTTACTATCATGAATCAATAGATGAGAAACTAAAATATAATAATTATTACTATAACTCATTGATCAACCATTGAATATCCTTACTATTTTTATCTCTATTTCTATAGTGTCTCATGAGATTCAGTCAGCTTCAATTTTTTGGTTTGTTCTAAATCCATACACATAGTGAAAAATGCAAAATAATCTTAACATAATAATTAATAATATTATTAAGAATTAAAACGATAATATTAATGCAACTAAAAATAATAGAACCATGTCATTACAATGAGATTCACCTACCAATTATAACAACATCTTTATAAGTAGCCATTTTCTCTCTCTCTCTCTCCGATTCTGAATACAGTTACTGGATAAATCTGTAATAAAAAACATGGCTCTTTAGTACCATACAACTGGAGGAACCATGTAAATCTCTAATGCATTATGAATTCTAAAAATAAGCATGTTTCATCAAAATTAAATGACATTGATTCAGAGATATGTCCATAAAGAATAAACTGCATTACAATTTATTATTAATATCTGCTAAGTGAAGTATTCAACATTTGCTTGCTTCTTTACGCTCACCAATATATTTTGCATACCACCAAACAAATGTAACTCCTTAATTTGCTCATTTTTTCACAATGCAGTCAACGTATATATACTCATACTGTTTCCTGCTGTTCAGATTATTACAGTGATCAGTGATTTAAAAAGACAGCCAGTTCTTTTCTATTTTGTCATGCGTACAACAGTGACTATAGTTGCTCTTCCCAGTATTTACATATAAACTAATGTTCACTGTGTTTCTGTTATTTTCTGCAAACAAGAATGTTTTCTATAAACAGTGACTATGTTAAGCAGCTACTGTCTTAAGCTTTTAACAATTTCAAATCTGGTCCTATTGTTGTCTTCTTCAGAAGCAGCTACTGTTTGTAAAGTAACTGTTTCAGATTTTTAACAATTACAAACCTGATCTTACTGTTGTCTTCTTCAGGAGTAGCTAATGTCTGTAGAGCAACTGTTTCAGACTTCAAGCAATGTCAAATCTTATCCTACTGTTGTTGTTTTTTAGAAGCAGCCAGTATCCATACATCAGCAGTTTCAGATTTTCTATAACAGATTCTGCTGTTGCAGAAGTAGTTACTGCACAGGTGGTCAATGTATTAAACATTCAAGAGCACTAAGTGTGTTCCATCTGTTTCTATTCTGGAGCAGCCCCTACCCACTTCACAGCTGTTCAAACGGAAAAAGTCAGTTATGAGTTCAAATTCGATGAAGAGGAACCCACCTGATGATGACAAAACCTTGTCGAAACGTTGTACATTTTCTGTTATGTTAAACTTATATTAAAGTTTTTCTTCATTACCCATTCAAGCCGTCTCCAACCACTATCAGTTATGAGTGTATTCTTTTTTCTTTCTTTTTTGTCACCAAAATAAGCACTGACCACTTAACAGTTGTTTATGGAAGCATACAACAGTGTCTTGGACTTTGCTCCTTTGTTCTTCAGAAATGTCATTGTTATACAGCAGTGTTTACAAACGTTAGCATTTTTTCATGTCGGTTTGAGGAATCCGGGAAAATAAAGCATCTACCAACGGTAATAATATTTTGACATGTTTAAAGAATATTACTGAATGTTATATTTTGTGCACAACAAACAAAAAACTGTCCCAACTAAACAAACTTTTGTGTCATACTGTTGTGTAAATAATATATATATATATAATGTAAATATTGTATATTTCTGTATAATTGATATTATTGTTTTAAATAGATGGCGCGGTAGATCTAACCCTTTACTCTATTTATAGAGAAGTTAACGATTGTTCGAGAACAACGGGAAAATCCAAGAATGTACATAAATATACGTACTTATAGTCATACATAAAGAAGGAGATTCTGATATAGGTAAATAGAATTATTTTAGTAAAGACCTGATTTGTGAAATTCAGTGTTATATTCAGTATAGGCCTAAAACTGTCATGCAAATAAGGGAAAGTAAACATGTGTTTATTATAATTCACAATGTGATACATTCTGTCAAGATTGATACCGACAGCCGGTAATAACTCAGTCACAGACGAAATTAAAATTAACTCAGAAGAATAGCCAAGACTAACATTTCTGTGCAATAATATTACTTTATTAGTCAAAAGTAAGAAAAAGAGTATGATAACATTGCTGCTTGGATAGAGTATAGTTAAATTTGTTAGGAAATTCAACATTACTATTTTAATTTTTATGGCATAAACACGTTACAATCTATTTGTAACAATAAGTAAAAATTAATTTTTACAAATTGCTAAGAGTTATTTCAACCTGCGTGTTAAATTATACAATTTTCCCACCTGATATAAAGCAGTAAGTTAAAACTTTCCAGCACCTATTGCAACTCTATCGAAGTAAAGGTGTACAAGTTAGCACTCCATCCACTTACCCTCACCAAGGCTGAAATACTAGATTATCATCAAGACGCGGATACCACTAATGGACTCGGAAAGCTACGTCATTCTAGCGTAATCGTTATTTATTTCACGTGTTTGAATTAGAAGTTTGCTCCGCCCATTGAAAATACAATCCAATATAACTACAGATTAATATTTAAAACTTGCCATACTTGATCAAAGTTTTTTTCCAGAATATTTGGAATAGCAGATAATTAAACAGCACATCTCGCAGTTATTGAAACGTTTGAGTGAATTTTGCCGTCTGGTTATAAGTCTAGTACGATTTGTCATTTATCAATAATTAAAAAAACGCAATTTGTGACGTATATGTAAATAAAGAAAGACAAATATAAGAAAAAGTATCGTCAAAGCTTTTATAGACTTTACAAAAACTACATCACTCTTATTTATCTTATCAACAATAATCAATTTCCAACCATGACTCAGCATTTAACATTAGAAATAGCATACATTAACGTTTGCTAAAATAAATTAATGACATTTTTTGTGAGCCCCATTTCCATGGGTAACTAAAAAGTATTCTGATCTTTTCACACCTATTCTTTTTTCTTCGCTCTTTTATATTTAGGTATTTATTTTTTATATTAAAGACTACATTAATTAGAGTAACATGGATCGCTTTGTATTTAAGCACAAAGCTACACAATGGGCTATCTGTACTGTGCCCCCATCGGGTATCGAAACTTGATTTTCAGCGTTATAAGCCCGCAGACATTTCGCTGTACCACTAAGGGGCTACATAGAAGGTACCAGTTATTGTTGTTTTTCCTATAAAGCACTACATTAATTAGGCTACTAAGGAGTGTGTTAGTTTATATTATTATTATTAATTATTTCCTACAGAAACTAACGATGGAATTTATCCACGGCTTTAGCGACTACCAGGGTATTTTCTTAAATATACTGTGTTTACGAGGTGATGACCTTGAACTTGAAAACTGTTATATTTTTGGATGGTGCTAAATGCAATTAACGTATCAAGCTTGGTGATTCATTTCCTTTCTCGGGTTATGTGTTCACTGCAATAGACAGAAAAAACTTTATTCATGCAATTCGATATGGATAACAAATACCGCATTTTTCGGTGTATAAGACGCACTTTTTTACCCCAAAATCTGATGTCAAAATCTGCTTGCGTCCTATACACCGAAGGTATGGATAATATATATGTATATATACAGGGTGGGCCAAAAGTAGGGTTACAGTTACTCCATTATTTGTTTCTCCTTCACAATCGCGTTCACCTGACCTGACACCCCCAAAAAAAGAAATCCATTCGTGTAGTCAAGAACAAGGTTTATGAGAGAAATCCCACACAGTGAATGAACTGAAAGATTACATTTCTGATGCATTCTCTGAAATTGATAGAGATCGGAATTTGTGTCGTACTGTGTGTCAGAGTGTTCTGGACAGAGTTGAAGATTGTTGCAAGGTTGAAGGTGGACACTTTGAGCATTTGAGAGATTAAATGTTTAATGTAAAATGTCTAATATGTAAATATAATGTATGTAAATAAATGTCTAAATTTCTAATAAAGGAAAAATGTTTAAGTGTTAACTGTAACCCTACTTTTGGCCCACCCTGTATATGTATTATCCTATCCTCATCTCTACCATTAGTTAGGCTTACGAGGTTTGGCATAAATAACAATACTTCTACAAGTTTTAAAATAAAATAGAAAAGTTACAAATTCATATGTTCTTTGTCGTAACTGCTTCGTTTATTATAGAGTTTGATGTTTCGTAATTAACCTTTTCATTACGATAATTTGAACACATTCCTAATGAAAAATTACACATTAAATGCTGCTACTGTAGTATGGTGACATCATTACTGTCATTTGAGTAATAAATGTTCTGTCTGTTATTTCGATGAAAGATTATTTAAATATCAGATGATTTTTAATTCATGTTTCGGACAGTGTTTAATGTTAATAAGAAACAACTGCTTATTGTGAAGTAGCTCAGTATTTATATATATTTCAAATAAAATAGTAAGCAACGATGTTGTTAGGACTTGCCTGATTTTTCGTCTTCCTTTAAAACTTATAAGAATTAAAGGGGTCAGACCGATATTCCGAAAATTTTCTGCCAATTTGGAATTTGACTTATCATTATTCAACTATTTCATTCTGTCTCTACAATAATAATAATGGTGATATTATAATTATAATTATTAAGAGAAGTTTGACATATTTTTTCAGAAGATTAGAAAGCTTTAATTGCGGATAACAATACTATAGTTCTCTAGAATGACTACAAACGTATAACAAAATGTTACCGGCTTATTTCCCTGATATATACACACATACTACTATTTATGTAATATAACAGCCTGAATCAACATTAGGCCTACATGCGTAATTGCTTTTATGTTCAATTTTCAGAATATCGGGCTGTAACCGAATAAAAATCCACCAGGGTGATGTGTTTATAACTTATAAGATTTTTTTCCCGCTGATATGTACACATAGGTCATCAAACCATGAAAGGTCAAGTGTTCTGTTTGATTGTTTTCAATCACAAAACTGTGCCCACAGCAGGGCTTAAACCTCGAATTTAAGGGTCATAAGACCTACATCTTACCGCTGAGTCGTGTAGATGGGCATAAAAGAAGGAAAGTGTGACCAACTGTCTTCTGGAAAGTATAACCAAAACAGCAAACAAATATTTGGGGAAAAGAACAGAGCAAAAACTGATAATCTTCCAGATGTAAAATATATATTCAAAGTTTAACGTTTTATGAATCTCTGTAATAACTGAGCACTTCGCTAAGGATAGACAGATAGATATTCCGTATGTTATTAAATTGTTTCTGTAGCAGGTCTTTGCAACATGGCTGAATGAACGACAAACATTGTCACGTGATCTTATCTTTGTACCGCAGCTGGCACCGAACCATGTGTGTGTGTCCCGTGTTCGTGTAGGCTCGTTCTGGCTTACGAACTGTGGTTATCAAAGCTTGACGATAACAGCAGAGCTTCACATTCACAGGATGTGAATATCAACGCGGTGCAACCTATCGCTGATTGGTGCCCAATTGTGACAGAAAAACGTTCATTGGTCAACCGTGACCAACTTAGCAAAAATGACTGACAGTTCGAGAGCTGAGTCATGCCGCTGAACGATAAGAGACTAAGTACTTTGTAGGAAATTGATTTTGGTTATATGTAGTCCGTTTTACAGAGAACAATTAAATACACTTTTCATATTGTAAACAATCCAGGTTTTTGTCTTTTTTTTTTTTACGTTAGTCAAATCAACCGACAACATTAGTCTGCTTGTTTTATCCCGTTCCTCTACGCTTGCTTTTCAAGTAATTTTATACATCAAACGAAATGTGTTTTTTTTATGAAAACATTTTTGGCAATACAGTTCTAAGAAAGTAGAGTACAAGTATGAAATCAAATATTATTTTATTTATTCGAATTGCTTATGTTATAATTATGATTATTGTTTTATATATAAGCAATTGAATGAATTTGTAGATTTGAAGACAAGGTCTCAGTATAGAAGCCGAAACGTCGTCTCCTTTTCATTCAACAGTCAGTGTAGTCCATTAAACTTCTGAAACCTAATATGTTTGCCTGAAGTTCCACTTAAACAACTGAATTTTTTTCTACAATAAAAAACATCGGCTTTATCGAAGTATGAATAAAAATTCAGATTGTAGAAATAACCATGTTCGGAGGCAACGATCACTGAAAACAAGCATAAAGCTTGGGCGTGTTCTATTGGTAGCATGCCGGCACGTGAATTTGAAAGTATAAGGTTGTGCCTTGAACTTCTGTCGTATCTCAGTTGGCCAAATGATCCCTGGTATTGGGCCAAAGGCTTAGTTGACACTGGATATAGCAGACAGTGCTGTAATGTAGTTATAAGGGTGATAGTTAATTTCGTTATTCGTTTCAAAGCAGGGTCTAAGATCCGACATAACTTTAAGGTTTTATAGGTAGAAATCTTCAGTGAACTCAGAATGGAGACTAGGTAATACTCGCATTAAAAACCGAGCCAAGTGGTTTACCAATAAAGATCAAATTTAGTTTTCGTAATGATGAACATTTGTATCAAATGTGTCGTTAAAATATCTAAATGTTCCAGGTTTTTTTTAGATCGTAACGCGTTATCTCAATGATGACGCTTTTCTTGCGACTTTCTGGTAGTTTCTTTGAAAGCAAGTATATTCCCATATAATTGTTAAAAATATTAGCTAAAGTTCATCTATCATAATGTTTTTTAATTAAATTTAGGACTCATCTTTAAATGGATGTTGGATGTTGTTCAGGTTTTCAACATCCGTTTAAAGATGAGTCCTGGTACAACCAACCATTCTGGGATAATGTACAGGTTTACAGAATGGTTGGTTGTACCAGGACTCATCTTTAAACGGATGTTGGATATTGTTCAGGTTTCCAGAATGGTTGGTTGTACCAGGACTCATCTTTAAATGGATGTTGGATATTGTACAGGTTTCCAGAATGGTTAGTTGTACCAGGACTCATCTTTAAATGAATGTTGGATATTGAACAGGTTTCCAGAATGGTTGGTTGTACCAGGACTCATCTTTAAACGGATGTTGGATATTGTACAGGTTTCCAGAATGGTTGGTTGTACCAGGACTCATCTTTAAAGGGATGTTGGATATTGTACAGGTTTTCAGAATGGTTGGTTGTACCAGGACTCATCTTTAAATGGATGTTGGATAATGTACAGGTTTTCAGAATGGT